TACCAAAACCCGAGGAGTGCTTTTGTCAGAACATATGCAGTATGTGCTTTGTGTGCTTTTTACTCTGCTTGCATATTTGGTTTTTTCTCTCTGTCTTAAATAGCAACGTATATCTGTTCCTAGCCAGGAGGTACCGATTATGTAGGACCAGGAAGTCCAAAGCAAAATCCATGACTGCACAGTCATAAGTGTGTGATACATTAAGATACTTAAAAGCATGTATTTAAACATGATGTAGTATAGACCATAAAATCCATAACCAATTCTAGTCTTGGTTCAGAGAGACTGTCGGCCTACCACTTGTGCTGTGGGTACCTTGACTTAGGCTCGGAGTGATATGTCCATGAGTTCAGCTACCAATGGCTTTCACAAAAAGTCAGGCAGATGACTGCCATTTGTGCTTCTAAAATAAACATTGCCCTGTAAAGCTATAAAAAGAGAACACAAGCATTTAGTGTACAGATGCAAGAGTAGAAGTATTTAGTTCCAGCCAGTGAATTTTGCAACCTCTCTAACTGACATGGTATTATTGCAATAAAGTCTGCTGAGCAAATGTACTATTTAATGGGCAGAACGGAGATGTACAGCCTTCAAATAATGTGTTTGGCCTATCATAAAGTTTGTTTTCAGGTGTGTAAAGTGGAGCCAGTTACCAAACTGTAGCCAAGCTCAAAAATTAGAATTGGAATGAGGAATCTGCCCACTTTGAACATATTGCTAGGTTTTATTTCAACTTTGTTTCAACATCTGGGGCTTGCCCAACTAGACAAGAAGTTGTCCAGCAACAGGCACTTTGAGGTGTCTCTGTCATTCAGCTCATGATCAAGCCAAATACACTGCACAAAGACAATCTTTCTCTCAACATTTTAGTACTTATTCCACTACTGGAATATAATGGAAAAAGAGTTCAAAACACTCTTCCTAGCTTTAAATGGTTTGCTCAGAGTTTTATTCAAAGGTCTGGCGGAAGGATGATGATCTGTCTGTATCTGAATCCATATGCTAACATCTTATTATAATCCGCATATGGATGGTCTGTGCGAGGCCAGACTCCCTACTCTATTTTGATTTTTATCCTAAAATTGGCATGTGATTTAGTCTGATGGGACGCAGCTGAGAAGACTAAACTCAAAGTAATTATGTTGCTCCAGTCATGATGTTAAGGAGAAGTCCTGGAGCATGTGTACGACTGGAAGGCCAAAGGAGATGCTATTTTGAAAGGAACATCTTGGGGATAAGCTGTCTTGCTGGGCAAGATTGGAATTCAATAAATCTTTAGGAAAGTGAGATTAGATCTCATCACACAGTGGCTGTTTATTCCATTTCTTTTGGAAACATTTCCGAGCAAAGCAGTACAAGCATTGTAAACAAACTTTTTTACCTCTAAAAGATCTTCAATTAACTATGAAAAATATTTATGAGAAAAAATCTCTTTGCCTGAGCAGTATTTGCATTGACCCTTATTAGACAAAAGCAAGTGGATGGAATGGTTTGATAAAATAATCCTGGTGAATCCCTTTGACAAAACCAGATAGATTTCAACACAGCAGCAGTTCCTTTGGTGACTTGGTAAAGTTCCTGGGCAAAGGAAGGACACACATCAGAGCTTGGGGAAAAGAAAATTCCTACCTCTCAGATGACATGGGAGGAGGTTGTGAATGGGGAAGCCCAGGAAAGGGCTGGGAAGCCACTTCACTTGTTCATTATTTCTTTCATCTCTACTGTGAAATGTTAGAGGAAATACAAGTTACCCTGCAGTTAGAAAAAGCCAGAGCATTATGTGAATGGATAGGTTTACCTTGCACACGTACATAATTAGATGGGTTATTAATGGCAAGAAAGTTGAGATATTTCTGCAGTTCTGCTTCTTGTGCTACTTCCTTTAGACTGCCTCAGACGTTTCCTGGTGCACAGTGTGTGGTATGCTGAGTTACAGGCATTCGTATCTCACTGTAAGCTGCGTGAAAGGGATTGGCACTCCAATTAAAAGCAGGATATGAAGAGATTAGATGGCCTAATTCATGGTGGTGCATCCGAGGGCTTATCTCCTAGGATCATCTGCAGACAAGGATGAAAATCTCAAGGCCCTTGGAAGATGAAATGCTCTTTTGTCTCCCCTAAATTCTTCTCTCTGTTGGTAGCAGGCATACTTAGGAGCATATTTTCTGTAGGTATTGCCATATTCACAGCTCTTGCTACACTTGTGTCAACGTCTGCCCCGAAATGAGAGCAGGGTGCAACCAAAGCGTGATACGGAATGGAACAGGACCCGAGGTTTCGTTGCTGCGGCACCGTCATTTGTGTTAATGGTCTCATGGGATAACTCATGTGTAAAGGAGCTTTATCTGTGACATGGCTCAAAGGCAGCCCCCTCCATCCAGGAGTAATGAGCAGTAAGAGGAGTTTCTCTGGGGAGTACTCATGCAGCAGACATCTGTAGAGCAGCTCCATGGAGAGCTAGCCATACGTTATGCTCTGGTTGAAGCTTCATGGAGTGATGTGGCACTCTAAGCGGCAATCTGCCTAGCTAGGCTCTCTTAAAGCTCACTTCAGGTCCTTTGAGGGGCGGGGCGGGGAGTTCTTGCTTGTAATCACCAGAAACCTGGCTGCATGTAGACAAGTAGCAGGGGGAGAAAGACCTGTAACACTTCTTTGGCATGATATGCAGCCCTCACTTCCACTCCTCTTTTGAAAGCCCTACTTAAATTTCAGATTACATGGTTGAAAGGGGCACGCTTCTCCCCTTTCATGGCTACATGATACACACACGGAGCAGGTAGGGCTCTGAAGTTCACTGGTGCAGGTATTGCCAAGGTAAAATATCCTTCTGGTAGCAGTGGTTGTGCATTGGTAACTATGATATGAATGTACATTTAGACAACGTTTTTCTAAGAAGGTCAGTCAGAGGTGAGTACATCCCTTTATTGCTTTAAAAGAGTGGAGTATTGAACTGAATTTGGAAATATGATGTTATACACAGCTCATGGAGAAATATCCGTTGCTTCCAGTTGGAGATGGCTTTCTGCTTGAATCAGAACAGGCAGTCCAGAAGGCTGTTGTTAGCAGTAAGTCAGTGTACAGTAAGCACCATTCGAGACATGGCATCATTATAGATATGTCTTAAAGTGTAGGCTAAGAGGAAATGCAAGACTGCAAAGTCAGTGAACATGAAACATAAATGCAAATATGGACTTTTGCCATGCCCAGCAAATTAGGGTGAACCAAAAGTACTAGAAGTTCCTGTATCATGTATTACTATTCTATCATGGCTAGAAGTGGTGCCAAATAATCTGAGAGTACAACAATTTGTGACATCAGGGTTTCTGCTGCATTGAGAGCACAGTCCCAGACTGTTGAATTCATGTTGCACACTGGCCCAGTAGTCTCTAGAGCGCATGGATTTATTTTGCTTAAAATATTTTACAAGTTTGCCCTTCACTGCATGTCGACCATATAAATGGAGATGGAAGTAGAGTCAAATTCTGTGATCAGTCACCTGCAGTTACCTGTGACTTTTTCAATGCACTGCACACCTGCCAAGTTGTATGTTGTGTATAGCTGTACTTTCCCACTAGACAGGCATTCGTTCTGTTCAGATCATATGAGGAATTATAAAACGCTTTACTTCAGCACCCCACATGCTGAATTCAGCCCCTGGTATAACAGTATTCAGCACTGAGAAAGCACTTTGTCAGGTAGACAGCTTGTTCATAGCACTGAGATTCAACCTAATGTGAAACCTGTTTAATGGAAGTTACCCCTTGCTGGAAATGGATGTTCAGGTTGAAGCTGCTCCAGAATCTCCTGTTGATTGCCAGTCATACAACACAACATGGCGTCTGCTCCATCATTTCACCTCATCCCTTTCAAGATTCAATTGTGGAGTCCTCATCATAGAATTGCTTGACAGTGCATAGTATGGCTATTGTTCTGTGACCACCATGATGGAATACCTCGGGAAGCGGCCAGTCATAGCATGAACATCACAAATGAACGCTGCTGTTGTAATCATTTTCCTAGTTACTGCTTTCAGCGGAGAAGAAAATTCAAAAGAATTCTTATAAAAAAAATTCATAACAAAATTGAAAAACGCAGAAATTGAAATGTTTCTTAAAGAAACAATGCATGCAAAAGAATGTCAAATGCAATACAGCTGCTGCAAGGGGACAAAAGAATGACTTAAAACTAAAAGTTGAGGCTAAATATTGGTGTTTTCTTCTGCCTTTTTTTTTTTTTGAGTTCAGTCACTGCATATATTTATATGCCTCCATCCCTCCTTTGTGGACAGGTGCTGATCAAAATGACTTAAGAACAGTTTCCCCCCATGTTTTATTCAAGTATTGGTCTTTGTTATTTGTTACAAAAGCTGTTTTACTACATACAGATGCACTAAAAAGTATAGTCTTGTTTTTCAGCCACATGACCCAACCTTTATAAGCTCTTCAGGAATTAGTAAATACTGATGAAACGAATCTTGGTGCAGTGTGAAATCAGCTTCCAACCAACAAGTCTGTGCATGAAGGATTGCTCCAAAAGTAAGCCACACTCTAAAATATAACTGAGAGGTTTGCAAATGCCATCTGCCATTAATCTCTAGCCATCCCATTGCAGAAAGGAGCTGGGCTCTAATACAGTAAGGTGGATGTAATTCTAGGGATGAAACACAGAAAATGCACAGATCTTTCTAATGGTTTGGATGCTTGTGGTGCTCTGTCATAGGCCTCAGAATTAATGCCGATTAAGAGCCAGTGCCCGAGAGCTGAGGAAATCAGAAGCAAAGATCCTGTTACCAGCCACCAACAGCTGATCCTTCTTTAGGCAAAAATACAGAGGCTATTCCAGCCCACACTGCACAAGGGAAGCCCCAGCCTTATCTTGTAGGCTTTCTTACACTCCCGACTGTTGTTTCTCTCTCTTTCCTGCAGAGCTTGCAGTGGCCCAGTGCACACAGCGCCCCGTTGATGTTGTCTTCTTGCTCGATGGCTCTGAGAGGATTGGGGAGCAGAATTTCCGGAAGGCCCACCACTTTGTGGAGGAGGTAGCCCGACAGCTCACACTGGCCAGAAGCGACAATGACAACATGAATGCTCGGATTGCCCTTATGCAGTATGGCAGTGAGAAAGAGCAGGATGTGGTCTTCCCACTGACGTACAACCTGACTGAAATCTCCAATGCCCTGGCGCAGATCAAGTATCTGGATTCATCCTCCAACATTGGGTCAGCTATCATTCATGCCATCAATAACATTGTGCGCAGCCCTGGGGATACGCAACGAGTCGCCCGGCGCAATGCTGAGCTCTCCTTTGTCTTCATCACTGATGGCATCACAGGAAGCCAGAACCTTGAGGAGGCCATTGACTCCATGAAGAAGCAGGATGTCATGCCCACAGTAGTGGCTCTTGGGAGTGACGTAGACATGGATGTCTTGCTAAAGCTTGGCCTTGGGGACCGGGCAGCCATCTTCCGGGAGAAGGACTATACCAGCCTCTCCCAGCCCGGCTTCTTTGACAGGTTCATTAGATGGATATGTTAATTGAAGGGAGTGCACATGTTCTCTTCTCACCAGTATACACACCCTAGATATTACTTGTTTTATTTTCTTCCCTTTCTATGGTTGTTAGCAACTCTGAGCTGACCCAGAACAGTTTGTACACAGCTGCCCTCTGGGTTCTCCTTTCTAGCCAAAATTCAGAGCTCTTATTTGATTTTTCATGATGAAGTCATGTATCTTACATTTATGGTGCTAATTAAAACCAAAGTCAAAGCAGGATACAGAGCCATACGAAGTACTTCTGTAATGCTTTACACATGCCAAGCCATTTCTTTGTATACGTACTGTAATGTTGGGAGGGCTTACCAAAGAAACAGGAAACCTCTCTAGTTCAGTCGAACAAACGATCATCTCTAATTTTCAGAAACTCTTGCTCTCCCTTGCCCTCCTTTGAGGAGTTTTATGCTTGTGACATCCCCAGTTCTTCAGCAAGCTCTTTTCCCAATCCCTTCCTCATCCTTTTTCTTCTCTCAGTACTTCTGGCCCCAGAGAGCACTCAGGGGTGACTTTATTGACAAATCATGTGCTTCTTGCTATGGTCAGAAATGTTCTTTCTTTTTGCTCTGTCCTAGGTTGTTTGTTTCTGTTTTCCAGGAGTGATGGGATGGGGTATCAGCCTAATTTAGAGGTTTTGGTGCCTTCTACAACTCTCTACAGATGCTCCTTTCAGGGATCTATCAATCCCAAATTTCACAGAGCAGCTTAGAGATTTTTCATTTTCCTGTGGGCCATATCTCCTTTGCTTCCTTCTGCCATTGCTACCTTCACCAGAACCTGTTACAGTACCCAAAATCTGGCCTGAGAGGTCTAGCATGGCTGCCAGCATCTCTCAAGATACCAGGCAGCATATGGAGGTACCTCACTCTATTCATCATAATGTACTCAAAATAACCACGGTGCCTTATTCCAACCAGTAGCTGCCAAACACCACCCAGATATGGAGTTCAAATTGAACTTGAATTGTGCTGTCTGCAAAAATAAACAAATAAACTTTTTTCCCTCTATCCTGAAAAGCCTCTTTTTTTTCTGTAGTTCTTTTCCAAATGAACAGCTGATTTTCCTGATACTGAACTGGCCTGAGTTTTCCTAGAGTTCGTAGAGCACCATTCTGTAAATCAGCACATCTCTACAGGAGTCAGAGTGAAGTCTGCAGTTAGTCTGGCTCAGCCTGTAGCTCCAGCCTTGGGAATGCTCTGAGGAATGACCATGAAAAAAGTAGAAGCTTTGATCTTCCCAAAGGTGGCAGCAGTTCACCAGACCCACCTCATTTCTGGAGTTCAGGAAATGTTTGGCTTCTGCCTTTCCTTGCCAATGGAGTACAAGGCCACCGGTGCCTAAGATGAGTGCCGTAACACAGGGTTCAGAGGGGACTGCTGAGGTTCAGAAAGAACCAAAAGAGCTGATGGGGCTGCTCCAGCTCTCCCGCCTGCCCACTATGTGCAATGCCATTGCAGGCCTGTTCTTCTGCTTCCCCGCGGTGCCGCCTAGACCATGATCTCTCAGCATGACAAAGATGGTGTCCTCGTCCTTCACCTTCACGTTCCCTAGGCCCAGTGCTGTGCATGAGGAGAGCAGAGGTGTTTTGCTCTACGCTCTGATACTGGTTTCTCATCTCCTTAAGTAGTTCAGAGTCAAATTCTGCTCCCCAGCTCTCTGACCCCATGCAGGGGCAACTCCACTCTTTCACCCTGCCCTTACTATCTAGGCAGTGACCCTGAATACTGGTGAGCTCTACCAGGCTTGCTCCTGTAGGCTGGGCACCAAGGTGTACACTGCGTGAGTGATGAAGTGAGCCCACTAGGCATGGTAGCATAAAGACTAGCCACAAACGTGGGGGTTCCTTGCAGGCCTTACAGGTGGTCAAAGCCTGGCAGGCGGCTGTGAGACTGGCTGCATATGTGTTTTGGAAAGTCATTTTGATGTGGTGAGCTGCTGATGTTTGTGCCGCTGGGTCCAACAATCAGACTTTGGTGATAACAGAGGCCTCTCCATAACAGGATTAGGAAGGCTCTTCTTGAGCCACAACAATGGGCAGAACAGATAAATATAACAGTAATACAGCAGCTCTGCATCAAAATTATAGTAGCAGCACTACTAGGCTTTGTACCTCTCCTGGCTGTACACTGAACATGCGTGCCACAGTCCTGTAATCATGGCTCAGAGGCCTAGGAAAGAGAACTCTCTATTTTTTTCTATTTCAAATACCCATATTTTTACCCTGGCATGAAAGATGGCAATCCGTACAGCTTAACAGTGTGAGGACCCCCAAATTCCCCAGTCAACCCTTCTGCCACAGATGGAAAAGTTCACATTAACTTCCAGGAGCTCTAACAAGAGGTGGGATCCTTTTTTGGCAGCTGGCATTATTGTACAGCGATAGTCACACGCAGAACAGCAGACTGCAAACCACCACAGGATACTCCTCGTGCTGTTGTCTGCAGTCTTCATGGATCGTTTTTAGAGAAGTGCAGAGGTATAAGAGCGAATCCCCATCCAGACAGGAGCGCTCGCTAAAGTCAGAGGAAGGAATTGCTGGTTGTGTTCTTACCTTGATTCCAGACTGCAGAATTTAAAAACTAAAAACAAGAAAAATCACGCAACAGGCAAAATCCAGTTTACAGAGAAAGGGAAAAGGAACAGAACCAACAAACTGATAGTCCTCATGGGACATTCATCTTTGTATTTTGTTTCTTCTGTTGATTCATCACTAGGCGGGTAGGAGATGTCGTCTTTAGTCAGAGTCAGAACTGCTGCTTGAGCTGCTTGAGGAGTGCTGGAGGAGGAAGAGAGTGAATGATTGTAGGATAGCATGCAAATACCCCTCTTTCATGCCATTCATGATAGGTGTTACAGTTTTAGACATTTGCCCTGGGTACCTGGCCAATTATAGTTTGGCTCTTACCAATCCACCCAATGTGGTATATGCAATAAATATAGCCGCTGGCAGGAGCTGTTGCAAGTGTCTTTGCTGACAGTAAGCTGACAGCACAAGTTCAACAGCCCAGCTGCCATGCTGAGGGTAAGCGTATGTGTGATTTATCACAACATCAAGGCTTCTGACAATAAATCTCAGTATCTTGGCAGGGCTACCTCAGCATTAAGATGAAATGGCTTCTAATAAAATGATCACAAGATTTATTCCGATACTGTTACAGTTTCCTGGTCTTCAACCACATTTCACGTTTGGAAACCACAGTGGTTTCTGCCATAGTGTTTGGAGAATACAATTACAGGCGCACAGTGGGAGGGCTGGCAGGGGGAGGGGGAGCATTATTTTAAAGGCTATTCAGGCTAATTAAATTCCAAAAGGATTCTGCTTTCTGTCAAGGAGGGCAAATATCAAGGTAGATAATGTTGGTCTGGGGTTTTTTTTTTTTTTTTTTTTTTTTTTAGCAATCCCTCACTCAAAGCTACGCCAGATGGTGCCGGTCACTGAGAAGGCACTTTCTGCAGGCCTCCCAGAGGCATTTGGGAGGGTCTTCTCTCCATGTGGATGTGGTTTTTACGTCATGTTTCTTCTCTGCCGTGCAAGACTAGGTTATTCTTTAGATGCTTGACATGGTATTTGTAGATACATATCTCTTTAATCTGTACAGCTGCAGATGAAGCGTACCTTCTGCTAGTTCCCCATTGTAGTGAAGGCCTTATTCAATGAACAGAGTACTTCATGTACACTAGAGCAAGTGTATTTAATGCTACAATCCGATTATGAACATCTGGCACTATTTACATTCTGTCTTAGATGCAGAAGTAGTCCATGGCCAATTCTTAAGCAAATTGCTTACCAACCTTTGAAAGGCAAACACCAGCTCTCTGAAGGTTGGGCAATGAAAACAAAGAAATGCTTTCAATGACTATTGAAATTGTTACGTTATTTTGGAGAAAAGTTTACACTTAAAAATGCTCAAAAACAAAACAAAACAAAAATCCTCAAAAACAAAAAGAGGAAAAGAAATTCTCTGGGCAATAAGTGGCTCCACAGTAGTGATTCTAAAGAGGGAACTGAACTGCTTCTGTAATGAAGGACACCGAGCCTTATAAAGGCATGGCCCACTGGTAAGCAGAAGGAAGTCCTGGTGCATGTAACAGGGCTCCTCTGGTGTATTGAGCTGTCCTGCTACTTGGAATGACTTCAAGAAATTACGTGGCTCATGTTTCAGAACATCACCACAACATCTCTAGCCCAGCCAAGCCTGACTAGAGAGCTACAGTATGTGTGGGGTGACCATAGAAGAAGATCAGAGCGGGACGGCTTCTTCCTTACCTTGCCCCCATGGTGCTTATGGCCGGACTTCGAGTGTTTCTTCTTGTGCTTCTTATGATGCTTCTGATGGCAGCCAGGCGGGCATGGTGGGCACACCTGCACCCCTGGTGGGGGGTGTCCGTGGGGGTGATGCCCTGGTGGGTGGGGGCCATGGGGGTGATGTCCAGGTGGATGGGGGCCAGGGGGAGGGGGACCACAGGGGTAGCCACCCGGGGGTCCCATGGGATGGGCCGCAGGAGGGCCAGACGGTGCCGGAGGGTAGCCGGGATAGGGACCTGGTGGCATGCAGGACCCAGGGTATGTTGGAGGGGCAGGCGGGCAAATTTGCGCTTGTGGTGGTGGCACCCCTCCAGGTGTTCCTAGGAAGAAGAGAGCGTACGTTTGCAGGCACAGCCAGACCCTGTGGCTCTCCCTGGACAGCTGATGGCTGCAGGGAGCTTGTGTACCCCTGCACCCAAAGGAATTGTCCCAGTCTAACCCCCTCTTGTCACAAACAACGCCCCCTCCCCCTTTGGTAATCAGTAATCCCTTTGGGTGCCAGTGGAGGTTGCACCAAACCACTCTCCAGGCCACAAGGGACAGTGGCCACAGGCACAGGCCACAGGCAGTGGCTGTGGCTCTGCCCAGGCCCTGCTGAGCCCCCTCACCTTGGTTGGGGTTCCACATCCTCCTGCTGCCTCCAAGCTGGAAGGGAAGGACAAGGGAAGAGGTTAACGGCCGCTCTCATAACCCAAGGTCGCGCTACAGGGTATCCCATGAGAACCCTTCCCTTGCCTGAGCAGCTGTGGCGCCCTTCACTCCCAAGCCCTCTGCAGAGCGTGGGTTGGGCGACACAGGCCTCTTGCCTTACACACCTGCACTGGTCCTTGCACTACAGCAAGGGTGCAGCCTTACCATATACTGCACCCTGACAAGCTGCACCACCTGGAAAGTTTAAAGAATGCTGCAGTCCTAAGGTGGAACATGGCTCTTTTAGCTGCACTTTGGTCTTTGGACCTGGCCATGCCAATCCCCGTGAGCGCCCCCCCCACACACACCTCCCCACCCCAGCTGGGCACTGACTCAGCCCTGAATGCATCCCTGAATGGATCTAACTGGCCCCAGCTGTGCAAACAGGTCTGACATCTAGCCCCAGGGTGTACCATGGCATTGCTGTTCCTGCCTTCCTGGGGCGTATGTCCCTGTCCACATGGTACATCCTACCACAGGTGTGTCATCATGCTGGGAGCAGCAAGGACCTGGCTCATCTGCCCCAAATATCTGCCCCAAAGCACAGAGACAATATTCCTCTCCTCAGGGATCTCACCTCACCGCAGGTCCTTGCAGCTGCCCTATCCCTCTGGGAGACAGCCTCATCCCCCAGCAACATCTGCCCCTGGCTCTGTGCACCTGGCAAAGCTTGGCCAGGTGGCTTCAACCAAAGAGGTTAAAGGAAATACTAAACGAGCTCAGGCCCAAAGCACGTCCTCCGTGCAGGCTGTGAACAAGCCTGTGCACTCAGCCCCTGCCTGCACAGACACCAAGGGGCCGGGGCACAGCATCCCAGCCCAGCCCAGCCGCGGGGATAGTGTGACCTGACCGACAGGCACCTGTGCTCCTGCTGCTCCCTGTAGCCCCCCCCAGCTCTGCCGTGCACCACTCCCTCAGGAGCCACTTTATCTTCCCGAAACTGCAGAAAACCAACCCAGCAAAGGCAATTGCAGCAAGCACTCTGCATTCAGTCGCCGAGCCAGGGGCTATCTCCAACCTGGTCTGGACCAGGGTCTGCTAAACACAGCAGGGTCCTAACAATGTGTCCCAGCCCCCCCAAATGGCTGCAATATGTCTTTCTTAGGATAATGCATAGTTCCCCCCAATCCACCGCCCCACACATAAAAAAAAAAAAAATGCAACAAACTTGCTCAGCCCCATTGACTATAAATGCAAACATCCAAACCTCCGCTTTGGTGAGCAGAGACGAATCGCACCTCTACCAGCAGCAGCCCGTCCCCAGCGCCAGCACAGCTCTCCCTGGGGTGGTAGAACCAGCCCTCCAGCACCCTTTAAATAGGTGGGCCCTGCCTGAGGGCAGGGCTGACACCCTACAGCACTGAAACTGGCTTCACCGCTCCCTGCTCCCCTTGCCGCCTCGCTGTCACCTTGGACACACAGGGAAATGTAAACACACCGCACCCAGCCCAGGCACAAAGGTCTACCAGGCCTGATAAAAATATGGGATGAAGGGTGGTGGTTTCTAGCACCTGGCATCAGCTGATGGGAGGTGAGTCAGGTGTCCCCGCCGTGAACCCTGGTCTGTGCCCCAGGCACAAGCCCAGGACCCCAGGAGGGGACCGACAGGGAGAAAGGCTGATGCCCCTGCCCAGGGGCTCTGCTGCAGGGCAGCAATGTTCAGCCAAATGCCCCGGTGTCGGGGTGAGAGCGGGCAGTGATGCCGCTGCCCGCCGGGAAGTTCTGGCGAGACGTCCCTGTATTTCAGTCCAGCTCCTGGAGACACATGCTCTGGGGTTGGGACAGGCCAGGTGAGGGGCAGAAGGGGTTGTGCGAGGCACTCTCTCCCCTTGCACAGGCAGCTCGGTGCCTGCTGGTGATGCCTCCCCTCCTAACGCCAGAGAGATGACCGCCGGGGGTGGCAGGGGCTCCCCTGGAGTGGTTCATGCTCAGGGGGCTGCAATGATGTGAGGGTAGGGGAGGGAATAGCTGCCGTTAGACCTAGCGATGCAGATGGCTCTGGTCTGTGGCGCATACGGAGACATGAGGAAGGGCTGGGTGCCTGATGCTCATCTTGTCTTCTCCAGGCAGGTGGGGCAGAGTTTCCCCCCATCCTGTCCCTGTAGCATGCCCCCATTTCCCCACTTACACACCCCTATGCTGTCCTGTATTTGATACCACTCCCTTCCCCGGGCCGGTGAGCAATGCAAATGGGCTTGTCATGCACAATAAAAAAAACCACCTTGTAGCAAGTGACTCACGGCAAGGACATCCCCAGCCCTGGAGTCAGGAAGGTGTCATAGGGTGCTTTCTGAGCACAAAAACATGCAGGTATGTGTGAGGTCAGGAGATGCCCATGCATAGGGTTTTCCTATCCCAGCCATCCCCTCCGAGCTGTGCTGTGTGAGCATTCCCAGGCTGTGCCGTCCAGGTGGCTGCCCTAGCCCTGGGGAGCCCCATATACGCAGCAGGCTGGTTGCTGCACCCAACCCAGCACAGACGAACTTGGGGCTGTGGCTGGCACAGCCAGGCCCGTGTCAGCCCTTTCTGTCACCAGCTGGGGGGACTGGGCCCCACCAGCAAAATCCCCTCCTGAGCCAGGAGGAGACTGGTATGGGCCAGGGGACACAACGTGGGGCTCTGCCTGAGCAGAGCAGCTCTCCCAAGGTGGGTGCCGAAGAAGCCCAGGCAGGGACACGTGTTTCCCAGCTGTATTTGCCTCCGCAGAGCTCTGTGCCCAGCTCTGAGCCCCTCTCACGCTGCCCGCTTCTCCAGCGCTGCCAGCACAAGTGTCAAGCTCTGTTTCGCCTCCTCCAGGAGCCCAGAAATCTTCTGGGACGTCTGCACGAGGAAGGAGAAGTTAATCATTTACCACTTGAAAGGACACAAAAGTCACTCCCTGGCTTCGCTGCCTGGCCCTGCCATGCACAACGCAGCACAAAGCTTGCTCATGGTGAAGGGCCAAGGGTGCTGGGTACGTTGGATGCCTGGGCCTGCTCTGATAGCCCAGGGAGCTGCACAGCTACTGTCAGCTGCAGGAGAGTGGTAGCGTGTCCCAGCCCACCAGCCTCCCTGGTGGGACATCTCCTCCAGGCTTTTGCAACATCTCTGGCCCTAGCCTGGCACATGTGGTACCCTTGGGTCTACATCCCACGCAGCTCTGCCACAGGGTGTACTCAGGAGACCTCATCTGCATTTCTGTCCCACTTGTCCCAGCCATACAGCCCCCCCCCATGCAGTGCCAGCGCACAGCACAGCTCTCGCTTACCACTTGCTTGAACTTCTCATCCGTTATGTCTTTGAGATTGATCATGACATTGAAATAGGCCCCAAACACACCAGCTTCCAGCATCTTGGCTCCCACCTATGAAAAAAAGTTTTTCTAATCTCAGTGACTTGATGCTCACTGCTGCACACAGGCCTGGCCTATTATGTGAAGCACTGCTTTCCAACCCACTATTTTCAGCCTGCAGCTCTGAAGGTGGAAACTTTTTGTGACTTTGCCACAGGGTTGGAAAAACTGAGTTAAGAGGTCCTAAAAGCTAAAAGGGCTGCAAGCTGCCAAAAAGTTGGTGGGCTAGAAGTACTGGCCAGTTTGAGAAGAAGGGCTTAAGAGACACATGTCAGAGGCCTCCACAGCCACATAGATCAGGTAACAATGGGAAACCTTGCAGGAAGAGGTAACAAGCTGGACAGCCCCCAAAATCCCAACCAGGAGAGTGTGGAGAGTCCTATGGCCAAAGCAGGTCCTAAGCATGGGGCAGTACCTGGATGTCAGATTTACAGGCCAGGTTGCAGTGGCATGCCATCTCCTTCAACGCAGGCCAGAGCCTGTTCACCTTCTCTGCCAGGGCACAAGGCACTTCCACTGCTGCCTTCAGCCCCTGCTGCATGGCGGCCAAACGCCTGGTGAGAGAAGACCAGGTGAGTGCCTGGACGAGGGCATGCTGCCCCAGGTAGCTCTTCTCCTGCCACATGCCGTCCCCCACCACCAAGGCAAGCCCTCGGGCCAGCAATGGGATTGTGATATGGGCCAACTCCTTCACAAAGCCAGCCCAGCTCACCTCTCCCTCTCTTCAGCGGTGCTTTTTGGCAGCTTCATAGCTTCCTGCAAGTAAAGAAAAGCAGGTTTGGTCAGCCAGGACTGCAGCTTGCTCTGAGACCCCATGTGCCTCACGTCAGGTGCCATAGGAGACCTCCTAGCTCCCATACTCTGGAAAAGCCCCTTTACCCCATGTGATGTCTCTTACCCAGGTCTTGGGCTGTGTTTCAAGTTGCCGGGCAGGCAGACTCTTTTAGAGCAGATATTTACCCATGCCCGGCTGTTTCACTGGAGGAAGGGGAGCACTCTCAGGACGAGGGAGCCTTGTTTTACCCACTCGCTGGGAACACCGGGTGCACCTGCCCCAACAGCTAATTCCTGAGGTCAAGCTTACAGCTCTGCTCCTAAGGGCCTTACTAGGGGGATGCAATGCTGCCACTCTGCTCCCAGCTGGAAAATCTCAGCAGAACCTCACCATGTAGGTGCTGAAGGCACGGGAATCGGCATCCACCATGGCCACCAGCTCATCCATGGCCTGGTGGAAGGGGGGGATCAGCTTCCTCATGACAGCATCCAGCTCCTCAAACTGCCGCTTCCCGTAGCTCATCAGCCCCACCATGCAGCCCAGCGCTGCTCCCTGCAAGGGTGGGGGAGGTAAATCCTCCAGTGGGATTCAAAGCCCAACTCTGCCACCATGCCAGGTCCCCTCCAAGGCCTCGGCATGCCAAGAAGCACCCTCACAAGGGACCATCCAGAGGAGCACCCAGGTAGGCAGGGATACGCCATCCACCCCAGACCTGGGGCACATACCAGCGCAGACACGGCTGCGGACACAGAGCCTCCTCCTGGCGCTGCTGACCTCCCGCCAACTGCTCGCACGAAGGCACCCAGCGGCTTGGCCACCAGCCCCCTGTCTGCTTCTCCCGCCTGCACCAGGTACCTGTGGCACAGCAGGACCGCGAGTCAGAGCCCCCATGCCAGCTGCCAGCCCCCCTCATGTGGGGACACCGGCCACCACTGCCCCATCCCTTCTCCTTCCCATAATGACAAATCCCCTACGCTCCTACACTGCCCTCTCCAACAGGTTTTCATCTGTCCCAAACCCCTCAGCTCTCTGAGTGGTTGAAAAGTGGGTTAGCACCACGCTGGAAGCCCAAAAAACCCAATAGGATGGTGCTGAGGAGAAAAAGGAGCCAGGGAGCTTTGTAGGGCTAGATGGACACCTGGGATTGTGCTGCTGGTGGGAGCGGACATCTCAGGGATGTCAGGGACTGCTATGGGCTGGGCAGAGCTCGGCTGGCTGGGGTGCAAATGATATTTCGCAGCATGGAAATGTGCCTGGGTAGCAAGTCTGCCTCTAGACACTGGCTGGGTCCCTGCAGCTGTGTCCCAGGGCTTTGGGGACTGCAGCTTAAAGTGCATATCCTGATTTCACCCCAGCATAGTTGAATTTCCCTTCCCTCTTCTCCCGCAGATAAAATTTTCGTAGCAGCTGCTATAAAGATGGTGTCTATCTTTGGAGGAAAGCACACGAGCCAGAGATTCTGAAATTTCCACTGCTGTGTGCTGGAAGGGCTGGGCGGGAACTTAATGAGCACTTGCTTGAATTTGGCAATAAAATCTGCTCCCGTTGCCTTTCAGAGGGACCAAGATTCCCTCACCCCAAACTCATAACTATCAATTTTGGGGGGCAGGGCCCATCTCTGTGCCTGTGCAGCATTCAGCACAGCAGTCCCCTGGGCCCTTGGGGGAGCAGGGGGAGCCCGAGGTGGCAGTAATGCAAGCTCTGCTCCCAAAATAAGCTTAATAAAAGAGGCAGGCCATGGGATTCCCTCCATCCAGACAGACACCAAACACAATAAAGAAAAGCAAGAAGGTGGTCCCTACTCAATGACACGCTCCTGGGGGTTAAACGGAGACAGGGAATCCAGGCCCAGACGGCTGACCACCTGCAAGAAGCAGCATGTGTCACATCAGTCCACGGCTGGGCGCAACTTATCCACGTGCAAGAGGCTGCGTCTCGCAGTGCTACCAGGCACGAACCTCCCTGTGCCCAGCTAGGGCATAAATGCATCCCACTATATTTTTCACTCACTTCTTTGAATTAATCATGAGCTTTTTGGCCCCTGGAAGTCAGCTGCAAGGGCTGCAAACCAGGGGAGAGGAAAGAAGAGCCAGGCTAGTAAGCTTAAACTGCCCCAGCCACCCACGCTGTGTCAGCAGGTCTGACAGAAATTCCCATCCCAAAGCTGGGCTGTGCTCATAGCCACCTGAGAGCAAATGGAAACTGCACAGATAAATAATTAGCTTGCTCCTATCTAGCACATTCCCAATAGGGTGGAAAAGTCCCTCCCTGCGCCCTTCCTTCCTTGAGCTGAAAACTGGTGCCTGTCTTTTTTTTTTTTTTTCCCCCATCGTACGCAGGTCTTGAGACAATTTATTGTGATGGCAAATGTTGTCCCTGAACTTTGTGGAGCTTTCCTTCCCCCCCCTGCTTCCACACAATCAGTCTAAGAGGCTGCTGGCTGTACTCTGCCCTCACAGGATGGGCTTTTTGCTCCCCTGAGCTTCTCAGCTTCTATGGGCCATGTCAATAAATCAGTTCATCTCACTCGCTTTGTCCTCACAGCTTGCCAGGCCATTCCCAGTAGCAGGCATCGTCCCTCAAGTCAAATGCCAAAAGGACATACAGTCTGCCCAGGGATTGACCTGGTCTCAAATCTCCAAGCAGTGACAGGGAAGGTGGCACTTTGGGAGGTTGGTGGGGTCTTGCTTGTGATCCCACCCCAGTCTTGGTGCCAGGAGAGACACGTTACCAGCCTTATCTTGTGTTCCTCTTCCAGGATGAAAAGTTTTTCCTTCGTGATGTAAAACTCAGCTGCATCCAGCATGGCCTTCTTGGGGATAAGCCCCACCAGCTGGGACCCCACCACAGGGAGCTTCAGAGCCTGCAAAGGAAAGTGGAAATGTGACTGCCCTCCAGAGCCGTTTGCCATGCCTCTGCTTTCACCCTTCCATCCTGGACTGATGGTCCCTTTCCTGGGATCCAAGGAGCATATGGAAATGCCTTTGATACAGCCCCCACCTTGCAGAGGTGAGCCTGGAGCTGGGAATTAGCAGCGAGTCACTAAGTATTTGGTGTTTCCTGTTGCTTGGGTCTCTGCCTGGCTTTGCTGAACTGAGAGCAAGGAAAAGCAGGGCCAGATCATGAGACATGGCCAAAAGCTTGCAGGGAGATAACCTTCGCAAAGCACCCAGCTGAGAAGAGCATCGCATGCCATCCTGTGCCTCTCACCTTTGCATCTCGGCAGACCTCCTCATAGACTTCATGGAGTGGCGTGGTTTCAAAGTCCAGGAGGTTTGTCGAAACCTGGGCTATATTCTTCTCCTCCAAATACCAGCCAATGCCCTGGACCTTCTTCAAGCGCCCGGGCTGCAAAGACCTATGGTGGTCAAGGCACAGCAGTGGCCAGCTCAACCCCAGGATGTGTGGGAGTGAGCACAACTGTGCCCAGCACGGGGCCGGCACAAGGGTACCTGGTCAGTGCCACGGCCCTGCTCCCGGATGTTGAGGGCGATGCGGTGAGCCAGCTCCTTGGTGCAGAGCAGGTTGATGTTGTAAGCGATGAGGAAGGTTCGGGCCCCTGTCACTGTGGCCCCCCATCGGGGGACGAAGGTAGGAGGCCCAAAATCAGGAGCCCACTCTGGTTTCACAAGCTGGGAAGTGAAACAGAGAGGGAGAGAGGGAAGCGTGTTGGCTAGCACTGCTGAACGGCGTGAGCGGACTGCTGAGGCTGTGCCACGATGGGTGGTTGTCCTCCCAGAGAAAGCATCTCCCTCCCCAGCTGATGCCTGCAGCAACCCTCTCCACATTCAGCAGCATCCAAAGCATTTCATTGGCTCTTCTCAGTCTGGCCAAGACATTTGTGCAAAGGGAATAAAAAAGGGAGGTAAAAAGGCAGCATTTTTTTCTTTCTCTTTCCAATTGTTTTGCTTCAAAACCTACTCCCATTTCAGATCTATGTAAAAGCTTCCATAGGCTTAAAGTAGAAATGTTTTACTTCATGCCAAAGAAAATAGTTCACTCCAGTTCTCTGGGGTCTTTTTAATCTCATAGAGGACAAAATGAATCCTTCAGGATGAACAAGCCTGGCTACCTGTATGGCCTGTGCTCCAGTCCTGACCATCTCAGTGGCCCCCACTAAACTTGCTCCAGTTTATCAAAATCACTCTTGTGCCGGGGTGCTGAAATTCAGCCCAGTATCCAGATGTGGCCTCCCTACTGCCAAACGGGAAGAAGAATCAGCGTCCTCACCCTGCTGGCTGTGCTCTAGACTCCTTCCCAAGGAAAATTGTAAGGTCATGGGTGTAGAAAGATCCCAGCCTTATTTGTGTCTTAATGCATTTTTGGAGCAAAGAGCAGAAAGCCACAGAAGAGCTGGTTTCACACCCCTCAGCCAGCATGTGCAATTGCCTCAGAAAGGAGATATTCCTCATGTGGCTCAAAGTTCGGGTCCGGAGCAGTAAGTAGCAGCTAAGTCAGCCTTCAGCATCCACCTGAACAAAACTGCTCCCTGAGGCCTGGGAGATGCTGCTCAGCTTTACACGTTAGGCAGGACAGCCCACGCTGCCAGGCACACTCACCTTTTCGGGGAGCGCCTCATACTCCCCGGCGCGGATGGCTGGCAGGGCTTTCCTGCTCTCCTCCTGTGCTGCCTCTCCATACAGGTAAACTGCAAGAGAGAGCGGGGAATGGCAGGCGGGCCGAATGCCATCGGGAGGAGGGGGCTGTGGCACGTCATCTACCAGGCACTGCGGGTCCTTCTTTGCCCATTTTGGGACAAAAAACTTTTGTCCTACTTAAGCCTTTATGAAAGAAGTGCATCTTATTTTATATTTAGATGACTAGCACGGATGTAGGCATGGCCCTGGGCATCCAGCGCTTCTCCCACTCACCAGGCACCCCCAGCTCCGTCGACAAACGCTGCCCAAATTTGTGGGCACAGGCAATACACTCCTCCATGCTCACGTTCATCACCGGCACAAAGGGGCAGACGTCCAGGGCCCCCATACGAGGGTGTTCACCTGGGGACAGGACCAGATGTTAGAAGGAAGGGAGCAGGTAAGAGCAAGACGGACAAGGAGGGATGAAGGCCCTTTGCCAGCCCCTCTTGGAGACAGCTTACAGCCTGCCTGCCACAAAGCATTTCCACTGCAAGGAAAGCTGTGTTTGAGGCAGTAATGTGTACTCCAGACCAGCAAAAGGATGGTTTCAGGCTCTCTGTAAGAGGAAGACAAGCAAGAGCTTTGTGCGGTCCAGCCAGCATCCATCCCGGCAGCACTGCTTGCTGGAGACGCAGAAGTGTGCCACGCTTGGCTGCTGGCAATGGTTTTGTATCAGTTTTGAGCCGCTGTGAGCAAAAGGGAGGTTTTGAGCTGGTGGGCCATGCTGCCAGGGCCCAGCTCCAGCCATGCAACGCACACCAGGAGCCATCCCCGCGCACCACAGGCAGCACGGAGGCTTGCCCCGGGCCCCACCCCCGCTGCGCGGGCCGCCCCCCCCCGGCCCCCCCCGAGCTCACCCGTGTGCTGGCTCATGTCGATGAGCTGCTCAGCCACTCGCGCTGCGCTCAGCGCCCCTTCGACGACAGCTTCTGGGGCCCCCACAAAAGTGTAGACAGTGCGGTTGGTGGAGGGCCCAGCGTCCACATCCAGCAACACACAGCCAGGCGTCCGAGAGATAGCTTGCCCTAGCGCCTCAATCACCTGCGAGAGAGCAGAGACGGACAAGGCAGCTGGGCAGCAGGGCTGGCGAGGTGCCTACCTCTGCCCCGGGAGCTGTGCAAGACAAGGGAGCCTTTTTGCAGCTTTCCCCAGCCCCCTCCCTTCCCACTGGCATTGAGTCTGGGGCCATGATCAAGAAGGAGGCCACACGCCCGCAGGTACAAGCCCGTGCCACTGAGGATGCAGGACTCGAGTGCATGAGCATCCTGCTTCCAACCGGGAGGCACAGGGCGGGAAATGGAGACAGCCCCCAGCTCCCGGCAAGCTGCAGCCCTGCAGCAGAGGAGGGAGAGTTGATCGGTGCCACCTACATGCTGGAGAGGTCTGTCACAAATTGCTATTCCTGAGGATACTGTCCCCCGGCAGCCTCAAAATTGTTTTGGCTCTGCAAAGTCTGTTCGCTAGGGGAACCAGGATTTTTACCATGCCCTTCGTGTTGTCTCCCTGGAAAGGCCAAAGTTCAGCCTGAGGCAGGCACCCTGCATGAATCATTGTAACCTGGATAGCATAATGTTTGACAAAACAACTGAAAGGGAGACTTCCAAATGGGATATGCCAGGTCACCTTCCTCAAGGCCAGACCCCTGGCCCTAAGGCAACCTACAGGCAGCAGAAAGGAGCAGGGCTCCAAGCCCCCGTTTCTCATAGAGATGCAAAAAGGAATAGAGACTGCGTGTAGGCGTTTTCGGCATTAGCCATGCAGAGAAAGGTGCGTAGTACTGGCAAGGGAGGCAGGGCAGAGCCTGGCAACGAGCACTGCCTGTGCGGCCCATCCCTGGCGGCAAGCCAAGCCAAACCTGCCATGGGGTCTGCAGCAGGGCACAGCCAAAACAGGGCCACAGAGCACCATCAGTCCCAAGCAAACACCCTTTGGGACCAGTGAAGCTCCTCTGAAATGCTGCAAGCTGTCCCCTGTGGTCTCTGCCCCTTGCAGGATTGCTTTTGTGTCTAGGAAACAACATGAGCTTTCCCTGACCTGACTTTGGTGGGATTTTAGCTAGCATGAAAGGCGCCAAAGGGCAGTGGTAGTAGAAAAGTGTAAGCTGAGCTACAAACTGTAGGGAATAAAGTGCTCCAGAAGTTAACCCCGGACTAACCACCCACCTCCACTGTGCAGAGATGTTTGATGCATAGCCCTGACCTGGGAGCAACCTAGCCACCTGCATCCCCAGTGCCTCCTACCCCATCTCCCCCCCTCCACGCGGCTCCCTTACCTCTTTGTTATTCCCCTCCGAAAAATTGGGGACACACTCCACCAGCTTGGCCATGGTGCTGGGGGTCTGCCTGCACAGCTGCAGCTATGTGCTGGGCTCTTTACACCGCGCTGTTTTGCCTGAGCTGTCCTTTCCAGGGCCACGGAGAACCAAAAGCCTTTCTAGCATCCAATCAGTTATCTTTTCGCAAAGTCAGGATTTCTCATTAACTATGCTGATCCAAAGCCAAGAGACAGAAAGGGTTTTGGTTAAACAAAACAGCAGTGACTTTGGGCAGAAAAGCCCCTCTGGGCTTTGTTAGCTCTGGGTAATGTGTCCTTGGGCCCAGTGCTCACCAGTAATCACTCTTCACTAATCACTGTCCACTAATCACTAATCAAAGGCACTGCCTCATGAGAGAAAGCTGCCCCTTCCTGTACTGTGTACCCACTTTGTGGCTATGCATTCGGATGGCCTGCTCCTGCTTAGGGGACGGTTTGCATCAGCCAAGGAGATGAGATGACCTCCAGTGTCCCTGGGGCTCTCCAGAGGGTGGGGGACACCAGGGAGGCCTGGCTGCTGCAAAGGGGAGACTGATGAAAGGAAGGTCCTCAAGATCCTCCTCAGGTCCAGTCTCACTCCTGACCCCGGTGGTTGAAGGCTCTGCACTCCTGGGGCCATGTGGCACTGGCCAGGCAAAAGCAAGGCCAGCAGGGCCCAAAAAGAGGGCTCGTCCGGGAGTTGAACCCGGGACCTCTCGCACCCAAAGCGAGAATCATGCCCCTAGACCAACGAGCCAGGATAGTGCAGGTAGGACCCCACCAAGCTCTGCTCCCACATCCTGTAGCACTGGGCATGGGATGGGGCCCAGTGCTGCAGGGGGATGGTTCCCCCTAAATGTTCCCCTCTCCTTCCCCCTCTATTCTTGGGCCAGCAGCTCTCCTATGTTCCCCTGGAGAGAAAACATAACACAGCGTGGAGGATATGCCCAGGATCCTGGGGAAAAGGTTCTGGCTTTGCCTCCCTGCACACCTCAGCTCCAGCTTCCTCAGCTCTCTGTGGCTGTAAAGCTAGAGGACCTCAAGGGTCTGCACATCCCTCCTCTCTTCAGATCGCTCCAATGCCAGGGGGCCCAGTCAGGATCCAGCTGTTCCCTGGGCAGGAGCTGCTGCCCAGA